AACTTGAAAGTGTCGCAGCAGTTGAGACTGTGTGCCACACTGGGATTAGAGTTTAATCCTTAGGTTTACAAGAGTTTTGTAAAATGCTGTTTTGGCTCAGTGATTTTAGTGGATGTTTGGAAAAATACTACTGAGTAGTAGGTTGTGGTTTTTTCACCTTTTGAGCCAGGTGTTTTCCACGTAAAAATCTCTGTGTTCTTTATTTCTGTAATTATTATTCAGCAAACAGCAGCAGTTAGAACACCTAGAAGAACCAGGTTCTTCTAGAGTGAAAATTGAGTGCCACACAAATCACCCCCCCCTTTTGTGTGGTATTGACGTTTAGAACATCAGAACCTGACACACTTGGTACACTACTCAAATCGACACACTCCAGGAAATGTGAGTTGCTATGACTTCAGAAGATAAAGAATCAACACAGGGACCTGATCCCCTTGTGTTTCCCCGACAACTATATGAAGTCAACTATCTGCACCTTGAGAGTGACTGCCTGCAATGTACACGCAAACAATGCATCACAGTACTACAGTCACTCCCCTTTGACAAACCAAGTGATTATATCATTCAAGTGATGTCATCCAAGTTGTATTAATAAAGTGCATTACAACAAAACATCACTTGAACACTTGAGAATTTATTCAAGCATTCCAACCATTCACCTGTCAAGCATTCAATTCTCAAGTGCATCAAGAACAAAGAACAACACTACTACGGACCAGTTCCTATGGCAAGTATCATGTATGTCCTTAGTTGAGTTGTAACTTTGTAATTGTTCTTCATTGTAATTCCAACTTTTCTTATCTAGAAGCGTTACTTAGGAACCCCTTGTAAACCATAAACCTTAAGTGTTTGTGTCGTGAATAGAGTTAGTCATGGGTTGAAGTCTTTGTAATAGGTGTATTGCAAAGTGGCTTGTAATAGGTGTATTACAAGTTAGTGAGCGATTAAGAGTTTGATTCCTAGATTGCATAGGTTGTAATCTAAAGTTGCTCATAGTGAAGTTGAAATCCTACCAGTGTAGGTCGTGGTTTTTTATCCCCTTGAGCAGGGATTTTTCCACGTAAAAACTCCATGTTCTATTTACTTACTGTTTCATTAGCACTACCAGTAGAAACCTATAG